GAACCCCCTCCCCCACTCACACAACTGAGGCCCCTGCTGGCCTCAGGGACGGGCCATCAATGTGGCTGGGCTTCTCCAGAGCTCCAACTCCAGCAACAGCGGGGGGGGGGCAACCAAATTGTGCAACACATAACCACCCTGAATTAATGGTAGTCCAGGGCAGACCCCAAAACCATAATAATGAGCCTGTTTGTCAGGCAAGGCGAGATAGATAGAAATCAAAATAAATAAATAAATCATGTGTCAGTTCAGACATCACATGAAGCTGTGGCATAATTAACCTAACAATGGCTATCTTCTTAATTCAGTTCTAATCATGAACGTAGGGTTGTCAACCTCCAGTTGGTAGCTGAAGATCTCCTGGGATTACAACTGATCCCCAGGCAACGGGGATCAGTTCACCTAGAGAAAATGGCCACTTTGGAAGGCAGACTCTATGGCGTTATACCCCATTGAGGTCCCTCCCCTCCCCAAACCCCATGCTCCAGGTATTTTCCAGCCCAGATCTGGCAACCCTAACAGTTAGTTTAGCTACCTCAATCCAGTATCTCAAGCTAGTCTATTAACCACAACAGCCCTTAACTGTGGCTTCATGTGGTCCATAAATGGGGAACCAACTCATGTTTCATCCTGGTTTGCCGATTCTCAGGCTACCGAGTTTCCCAACAACTGAAGCCACTGTCACCTTTCACCACCTCATTTCCCCTGTCCGTCTTTGTCCTGTCTTCCTCTTAGACATGTGGCAATCAAAATCAACGGAAGCTTTAGTTGTTTCATTGCCCAAGCAACATGGTGATGAATCAAGTCTGGGAGATCACACCACCAGGTTGCCAACTCTGGTTTGGGAAATGCTTGGAGATTTGGGGCAGAGCCTGTGAAGAGCTTGGGGAGTGGAGGGAACCCAGCAGAGATGTGATTCCATAAAATCTACCTTCCAAAGTTGCCATTTTTCTTTAGGGTAAATAATCTCAGTAGTTTGGAGAAGAGTTGAATTTCTGGGAGATCTCCAGGTTCCAACATTACATACCACCACTGGCAGGGTATGGAGAACACACTGTTCCCGGACTTGTCTTGCTGCTCCCAGGCTTCAAGGTGACATCTACCAGCAGAAGGTAGAAGGTTCCCAATGGTAGAATCCCACTGTTGAATATCAGGATGCTTGGACCAAGATAATTTTGTTTCTTTGCCCCTGCAGTGCCACTAGCCAATGATAAATTACTTGGTGACACTGTGAAACTTTGCCCTATGTTGCAATGCAGGCTGGGATCACAGACCCTACCTGAAAGAAGAATTAGTCAAGATAAACCAGATACAAGATAATGGCCACTGCGATCCAGACTCTGGTTTTATATGCTAACCACAATTAAAATAAGCCACAGCTTTGTGTTGTATTTGAAATAAACCAATATAACATTGCCACAGCATGATATGGTACAGATTATATAAACTGATAGCAAACAGTATAGAAACAAATCAGGTCAAAGCAATTAGATATTAAATTATATATGTTATTGCTATTAAAATTAATTCAAATATCAGCTGTAAAGCATATGTTGGTTAGCATTCAGAATACAAAATAACACAAATTTTAATAACCTAAAAGTACTCAGCAACAACTAAGAAAGAAAGACGATTTAAGCTTCATTACACTCGAGAAACTGCCATGTTAACAAAACACCTGTTTTCTTGCTTCACTTGACAGCATGGAAAATGTCACATTTAATTGCCTTTATAAAACAGCTACTCCTTTAAGAGAGAAAACTGGGGGGAAAGTGAGGTTTTAGATTCCCATGGGTCACCTCTAAGTGAAAAATCCCTGTATTTATCAAAGACTGCAAAGCCTAACACAGACTGCTGTTCTAACATAAAAAGCTAAAAATAGCAACGCCAAGAAAAGCTATCACCAAGTTACAAAAGGAAAGGGAAAAAGCAATATATTTATATCTTAAAATAAAGTGGTTATAACAAGATGCCATCACCAACACATAATTCAAGATGGTTTGGACCTCATTTGCAGGCTACGTGGCATTCAGCCAGAGACAATGCGTCATTTAATGGTTGGTTGCCCACAGCTTGTATAAGTAAATTATACTGATGCTTCATTTCGGATCCATATTTGCACAAAAAACAGTCTTTTGGAACATCTTTTACCAAGCCTATGAATTATACCCATAGCACCAACTCCAGATATAGATGTGGCAGGAAAGAAGGTCTAAATTTTAAAGCTGTTTCTGAATGGCTTCATGGTAAGTACAACTCCTTGTTCTTCACCTCGAGAGCAGGCCCTACCGCAACTTGCCAGTCATTTTAAGGCACATCTGCACTGAACATGAATATTAGTTTTACATTACTTTCACTGTTATGGGTTGCACAAAGCAGCCCTGAGAACTGTAGTTTGCAATATGATGCAAATTACCTATTAGAAATTCCTAAACTCACTCAGAGATCAACGTCTCCCAATGTTCCCTGGAGAACAGAATTTACCATTAATCCAGTTTAAGTGTATAAAACAATTTCAAGCCTATAATGCATCTGTATTAGAAAAAAACAAAAGATTATAAAAGGAGGGAACCACCAAATGCTCACCAGCTATTACTGAGAATTGGGGGGGTTCTTTAAAGTGAATTGTGAAGGGCTCCAAGATAATCCCTCCCAATTTGGTGAGTGCTCAAAAGCATGGGCAAACAAGGTTCAATATAAGTATGTAGAAAGTTGTGCGTACTGGGGTGAAATAATCCTAATTATATTAACATATTGATAGGGTTCTGGGAAATACTTAGGGCTGTCACGGGAGAGGGGAGGAAGTCACAACAGGCTGGAAATCTTTGCACCTGCCTAAGTGCTGTTCAGGATCGAAGCCATTGTATCCCCAGGGAGGGCAGGGTATAAATTAAATTAATAAATAAATATAAGTATCCTTAAAAATAGAGGAGATGCGGGGGTGCTCTTCTGGGTGGAAACCTTACTATCTACCATAAACTAAGCCTACATTTCTGACAGGAGGAAATGCTAAAATTGGTACAAAGGACAAAAGTAAAAATAAATTGTGACTTTGTTCTGGACGTATCCCAGCCTAAGGGTTCTTAGCATTTTTTTATACTGGGTTACGTCTGGAAAAGAGTTAGGCTGGTCTGCACTTCAGCATAATAAGTAATTGTCCTAATAAAGGCTCTGTGTTTGTCCCCGTCCCCCAAATGAACTAAATGTTCTTTGCAAAGTGCTCTAGATAAACTGCAGGGAGGGGCCGTAACTCATCACTTTGATGCATAATTTTGAAGGGGGAGGTCCCTGGTGTCTCCAGTCTGCAGATTTCTGGTTGCAGAAGCAGGGAAAGATCTTTCTCTGCCTGAGACCCTGTATACCTCCTGTGCTATTCCCTCTTTTCCTTCTCTGAAAGCCCCCATAGCCTCCCACCCAACAATCAACCTGCTTTTATCTGTCCCACACTATGGCCCGGTTGTGTGATGTCAGCTGCTGGTCCAAGGTCACCTAGTACATGGGTCTTCCAGACCCCAGTCTGAAGCTCTAACAGCTGCACCACACTGGCTTTCATAGGGTGGCTGCTGTTGAACAGCAGGAAGCAGCCAGGCCTGGGTGAGTCATACAAGCCAGCTGGTAGAAAGTTGCCTGATGGTTGCCCTGGCCTGGCACCACTGAGTCCTTCCTCAAAGGTCAAAACAGACTTGGAAAGGGTCCTCCCCCTCCCCCTGCCTTTTACAGAAGAAGAGATTGGATTTATACCCCGCCCTTCAGTCAGAGTCTCAGAGCAGCTTACAAACCTTCCCTTCCCCTTCCCACAACAGACTCCCTGTGAGGTAGGTGGGGCTGAGAGAGGTCTTTCAAGAGCTGCTCTTTCAAGAACAGCTCTAACAGAACTATTGCTTGTCTAAGGTCATTCAGCAGCTGCAAGAAGAGGAGTGGGGAATCAAACTCGATTCTCCCATATTAGAACAGACAGAAATGATGCCTGGAATACTGGCAAAACTGTTGTTAATTGCCTAGAAATGGCCGCTAAAGGCATCCATTTCTTAAACCTACAGTAGAAAAGAGTAAGAGTCCAGTAGCACCTTAAAGACTAACAAAATTTGTGGTAGGGTATTAGCTTCTTCAGACAGCTAAAAAAAATTGTTAGTCTTTAAGGTGCTACTGGACTCTTGCTCTTTTCTACTGCTACGGACAAACTAGCACAGCTACTAATCTTCATCTTAAACCTACAGGTGCTTCTTTTATAATTTTAAGAAGACGGAAACCCCCCCCCCCTGTTTCTTTGTTTGTTTGGTTTGGTTTTCTGATTTATTTATTTATTTATTTATTTATTTGTAAGCCTGGGATATTTTTCAAGTTTGTAGAAAGATCTGTCTTGCCCATGCACAGCTCTAGTCTCCAGATTTAAGTATCTTAGAATCTGGCCAGGTTGAGAATTGGACTGTGTGTTGGCAGTTACATGACCACATGGACTGTTGGTTTAACCCTCAGATTTCAAGAGGCTCAAATTTCATTGTTAGCCCAAATCTTGACGTAATTTTTAAAAATCAGTGTTCTGACAGATTACCTTCTGTAAGCCATGTGAAGCTGAACTCTATTGTTAGAGAAGACCCAGCTTTTATCACAATAACTTTAAATGCTCATTCCTGCAATATTTTGCCATCGTTTGAGTTCCCATGAAACTACCAGTGTACTTTGAAAAATAATGACTGTATCATCAGCCCACAACAGAACACTGATTTTAGCACTGGATAACCTCTGAGGATGGGAGTTTACGTTTTTAGGAGTGCAGCTCAATCGTGCAGATTGTGTTAAGTAGAATTGTGCCAAGATCCTGTGCAGTAAACTCCATGGGATTTACTTCTGCTTAAACATGCACAGCATGTATTCTCCTCATCAGATGTCACCATTTCCTGGAAACTTCGTGAACAATATTTAAAATCAGTACCTTGTAACTAAAAGCACCTGCAGTTTAGTACAACAATCCAGGTTTAGAATAAAGTTACAGACGTTACCGTGAATTTTTTGTTGTAATTATTTAAAGTTGTCCTCCTCTGACATGCATATTGGGAGACTGTGGCAAGAAATGAAGTGTCCAATGGATGCACAGATGCAGAAGGATGCTCTTCAGTCACCTGGACAGAGGAGAAAAATTAGCAGTTTGTCAACCCAAAATTTACTTTGAAACCTGAGTCCGGACTTTATGCTTCTCAGGAATATATTCACCCCTTTTATTGCCATGCTACATCAGTCAAAGGCTGATCTAGCTACAAGTATTCCTGCCACTCTCATAAAGACACTGATGCTTTTGAACCAAACAAAATTCTTATGTGAAATTATTCTAGCAACAAGGAGCACAAACAGCTCTGGAACTGACTATATAGAAAATCAATACACAGCCTATACACTCGAAGCACTATATGCAAGCTACGGCAAATGAAAATTCACAAATGCATGAGCTTCTATTGACTGCAGTATCTGGTGGTAACTCGCATGTCTGAATAATCAAACACTTTCATAACACCAGAGCTGGAACTTTCACATCACTTCACATCATCTCCAAACATAATGCTTTTCAGTGAAGTTACTCAACATTTGGCTCACAGACATGGCTTTGAACCAGAGACTCACAAAGGGTCACATGGTCCCATATGGGCTTACTCGAGTTTTGAGATATCTCTCGAAGCCTCAGTCTGGATTCCCCCACCTTCAGAAGTGAGGAGACTAGCTATCAAAGACAGGGGCTTGGGGGGCTGTTGCACTCAGATTGATAAATGTCCTCCCCAGGCACAATTATCAAGTGTCTACTTTGTTAGCCCAAATCCTGATGTAATTTTTAAAAATTAGTGTTCCGACAAATGACCTTCTGTCAGCCATCTAAAACTTTACTGTAAGCCATGTAAACTTAACCCCCACCCCCGCCTCCCTGTGAGACAGTGGTGCCATTAGGAATTTTAGTGCCATCTTTAGGTCATTTACTGTGTTGCTGATTTTATTGGTTTTACTGATGTATTTATGATATATTTTAATGAAGTATTTATGTACTGTGTTGTACACCGCCCTGAGCCCCGTCCTTTGGGGGATGGCAGTTTAAAAATTGAATTTAATAAATAAATAAATAAATACTGACATTTTGGTATCCATGAAAGTTCTTTTTTCATTTATGCCTCTCAGTAGCCTGTGACTCTTGGCAATTTGTGGGTTTCTGTTGGCAATAGCTGGGTTCACTGTTTTTTCTGCTGTATATTTTTTCTTGCTTTTATTGTTAATATCGTTGCTAGCTTAAGTTACTGACGAGCTGCCTTGAGGGCTGGAAATAGCAAAAAGGCAAGTGGAAATGTTTTAATAAACAAAACCACCAACAGCTGGAGCACACTTTACATCTGCCAGGATGGTGCCAAGTCTGGAGTCCCCATGGCACTGATCTGCCTTCTGGGCCACAACATTTGGAAACACACATCAGGTGCATTAGGGACAGTTTATTAATTTATACATCATCATTTTCCCCACCTCCATTCAAGATCTGTGAAGTAGATTATGCTGAAAGAATGTGATTGACCCAGGATCACCCAACGAGCTTTCAGGGCAGAATGGGGATTCGAACCTGCATCTTCCAGATTGTAGTCTGACATGCTAACCACTACACCAAGCTTGCTCTCATCTAATTGTGTGTTTCTATAAGCAAGACATGTGTTCTCAGCAGCTTTGAAGAGAACATATAAACTCACAACACAAGTATTTCAAAACATAAGAAAGTGGAAGGATGTCTGGGAAACATCCCAGTGGCAAACCTGCGATGACCCTATGCAATAGAGGAGGAGGAGGAGGAGATTTATACCCTGCCCTTTGCTCGGAGTCTCAGAGAGACTTACAATCTCCTTCCCTTCTTCTCCCCACAACAGACACCTTGTAAGGTAGGTGGGGCTGAGAGAGCTCTGACTGAGAACTGCCCTTGAGAGAACAGTTCTGAGAAAACTGTGACTGACCCAAGATCACCCAGCTGGCTGCATGTGGAGAAGTGGGGAATCAAACCCGGTTCTCCAGATTAGAGTCCACTGGTTTTAACCACTACACCAAACTGGCTTTCTGGGTAGACTGGGTAGTCCTGCTGCATGTTCCGAAAATATTCCGTTTCCACGTTGTTGTTTTTAAATAAAAGCCAGCATTTTAATTAGGAAAATTAAATGGTTCTGATTCCAAAATCCAAAACAGATTCCACATTAAAATGATTTTATAATCTGTGAAAGCTTATTTAACACCTCCTCTACCCTACAAGAGAACGAGATAGCCAGGAGACTGCAGTGCAGTCCTAAACAGAGTTATATCCTTCTAAGCCCACTGACTTCAGTGGAGTTTAAAAACTGTGATCCTGCCTTGGATTGCTCTGCTAGCAACTTATATAAATAGTTCTTGCATTAGAGAATAGCCAGGTTTGGCAAAGAATTCAAGGTCATGAACACATAGAGCTCCTTCCTTTCTTAATAAATGTGATTCACAAACTAAAGGTATAGAACAGCTCGGTTTGAAAGCATGCTAACAGTTGTTCCAGATGGATTAGTTCTGAATTGACAGGTTTAAGGGGGGAAAGTGGGGGGAGACAGGTACACAGTGGGAATCTTTCTTCCATGCCTCTAACAGAGACATGACTGTAATATATGGGACAAAAGAGTTTTGCTACACTAGATAAGCTATTATGCTAATATTATTTCATGTAGAAGTTGCCATTATATATGATCCAGTGGAGACCAGAAATTCATTCACCTATTCAATGGTACTTGTATTAGGATAATTTATAATGATGGTAGTAAGCACAGTTTTCTGGCAATTTTCGCTGTGTGTTTTGAAGGGAAAGAAATTACTCTGTGTGTGTCTGAGTATTCCCTGGTGAATAGCCCAAAGGGATTCAGTGGATTACAACAAAATTATTCAGACGATAATAATATAGTGTGTGAATTATAATTCAAAGGTGATCTTTAAACGGCAGACATCATACTATGTTGCAGCCAACTGCCATGCCAGAAAACACAATTGCAGTTGAAAAGATTTGGAAGCAATACTGATGGTTGGGAATCAACAGAATTCCTCTCAGAACTTTGCAAAGTTAGGACTCCTCAGAACTGCCATTTCAACAGTATAATCCAAGAGCAGGCTGAAGAAAGCATATATTCAAGTGTAATTTATTAACTATGGCTCCAGTTAGGATTGCCCCTTAATACAACATGATTAAGTATCAACATGGCCTGGGAAATTGTTTAATTGCCTAAAATGAGCTCCCTCTGCAGAAATGCTATACCTCTTGAAACCGTTATTTTAGACAAAAACTTTGCAATATAGCCTACAATCAATGTCACTGCACTTGCGGACCACAACAAATCAAGGATTTTGTACATTATTAGCTTCACTGTCCCATAATACAGAGTGCGAGACAGAGAGATTCCTTCCTGACCTGTTGATGGAGAAGCCGTCTTAGTCTAATTGATATACAGTCAATTTTCTATTTTCAAATAACCTCCAATGGTTATCCATAAAGCCATCATTTTTGTGAGCCCAAATGAAATCAGACCAATGGCATTTTAGGTTGTGTGTTTATGTCTGTATCTTCCCCACTTCATTTCATTTTCTTATAGCTTAAATAAATCTCATTCTGTTTATCACTTAGTGGGCTGGAAGCAGAAAAGGTGCTTACGATACCTGGTCAATTTTCCTTTAAACTTGGAAGGGGAAACAAAAATTACTCAGATGGCCTCCGTGCTGGAATGCTGACACCTAGATGCTCTGTGTTCTACCCCCTTTCAAAACAATGACGACTCCAAGAGGTACCAAGGAGTAACAAACACTTCCTCTAAATATTTCCATTTTCTATTTTCAAATAACCTCCAATGGTTATCCATAAAGCCATCATTTTTGTGAGCCCAAATGAAATCAGACCAATGGCATTTTAGGTTGTGTGTTTATGTCTGTATCTTCCCCACTTCATTTCATTTTCTTATAGCTTAAATAAATCTCATTCTGTTTATCACTTAGTGGGCTGGAAGCAGAAAAGGTGCTTACGATACCTGGTCAATTTTCCTTTAAACTTGGAAGGGGAAACAAAAATTACTCAGATGGCCTCCGTGCTGGAATGCTGACACCTAGATGCTCTGTGTTCTACCCCCTTTCAAAACAATGACGACTCCAAGAGGTACCAAGGAGTAACAAACACTTCCTCTAAATATTTCCTTCTATTTTCTCACACCCAGTTTTCATTCAGAGCATCTGAATATCCTAAAAGGTATAACATGCTTACAGGTGGTAAAGTACTAGGGTTACCAACTCCAGGTGGGGTTTGGAATTCTCCTGGGATTACAACTGATTTCCAGATGACAGATTGGTCCCCCTGGAGAAACTATCAGCATCACATCTCTGTTGATCTCCCTCCTTTCCCCAAACTCTGACTTCTCCAGGCACCATCCCCATATTTCCAGGAATTTTCGAAGCCAGAACTGGCAACCAAATTAAGGACACCTTATTCACTCACTCCCATCCTCCATTCCGACAATAAGCAGAAACCATTGCTGCTCCAGATCAACCCCTTAGCTGCCTCTATCCAACAAAGAACATAGTGGGATGAGTTCATCCATGTGCAAGAGACAGTAACACAGAGATTTCTTCTTGAGTGATCTGCACCTGACTGTTGAACACATGCACATGAACATGTGAATCTGTCCTATACTGAATCAGACCATTGGCCCATCAGGGTTACTATTTCTATTCAGACCAGTGGCAGCCCTCCAGGTTCCCAGGCAGAGGTCTTTCACATCATCTACTACCTGGTCCTTTTAACTGGAGATGCCAGGGACCAAAGCTGGGAGTTTCTGCATGCCAAGCAGGTGTTCTACCACTGAACCACAGCCCATTACAGGTTCTAGTTGCATAGATCTTCTCTGCCACATAGTCTGGAACTGGCAGACAACCATAGCCCAAGAAGCCAATACAGGAAGACCCAGCCCTAGAACTCAGTAGTCTATCAGGGATGCCAAGAAGGGGAGCTATGGGAACACAATTTGGGGAGTCCTGAACACTCTACGGGCCCAAAGAGCTGGATGAATCATATTGGTTGGGTCCAGGTAATGTGAGGAGGGGCTCAAAGGAATCT